GTTACTCACAGTAGGGGCAGCTGCTGACACCTCGCCTGGAGGTGCAGTGTCAAGGCCCATAATCCCGGGTCGAAGACCACGAACGTCAGGATACCCGTTAGAGCCGGGGGTCTTGTGGTGAGTGACATATCCGCACTGAACCCGCTCAGCATCTTCAGTAAGAGGCCAAGACATCTGCCTGTCCACGGCCTGCCCCTTCAAGTGACTGAAGGAATATTGGCGTGGAATCGAAGGGATGTACAAACAAGCTCCACCATCAAAAGTCAGCCAGTGCTCCTCTCCAAGAGTCAGTATAGCGGGGTCCTCGACATGATCCCCGAACAAGAAGCTCGGCTTCTGTAAAGCCTGAGTGGAAGTAGAATCAGCGGTAATAAGCTGGCGCAGGCAATGACGCCCTCCTTCCCGTATCAAATGACAAGATTCGTCTGAGCGATCTCTGTCAAACCGAGGAAGTGGACTAACGGCCTGCCTAAGGGAAGCTGAAGAGAAGACCTCCCGACTACAACCGGTGTTGGCGGGAGGAGGAAGGCTACCCGCGGGAAATTCCACTGCAATAAAGCACAAGGGTAGAGTCAGAAAATTCATAAGAAGAATGATAAGCTCATTCACGGAATAATTGGAGCGACGATTTTGAGCGTCCTACACTGGAAGAACGGTATGCATCATCACGTGAATAACGTGGTGACATACACCGACCTATAAGGCGTAGGACGACACAAAATCGCCCCAATATACCGAAGACTTGAATTGGCTAAGCAAAACAAGTCCGAAACCTTAACCTCCGCGAAAGAGGTATCGGTTCTTCCTTAATGACCCGCTAAGGGATCAGTCAGGGATACAGAAATAGAGAATTCTCACCCCTGAAGGAAAAGTCTGCCGGGAAAGACGTCGTGGGAACCTCCTCCTCACTGTGCTGCGAATGGGGATAACTCCCGGAAGATCGATGGTGACGAGGAGACATCGGAAATCTGCAGTGAAAAGCAATCTGTCAGGTACAACATGAATACACGAAATTTAAGAAAGGGAAATTAAGCACTTGGACTTAAAATCCTATAAATAAATAGGATTTTACAGTTAAAGTCTAATTAAACCTACCAATTTTGTGCCCGCAAAACAATGATCGTTTTCGCGGAGAATTTTGGTGAAATACCCAAAATACCCTTCGTGTTCAAGGCCAAAATTCAGGTCAAGGACACGCGTAACCCGGGTCATGATCATCACATTCGATCATATAACACCCCGGTACCCCACAATTTTGGTTAAAGTTTGCAAATGAGCCCTTTTGCAGAATTTAGCCAATCTTGCATATAGACCCCTCTAACAACTTTTGGTCCTCTTGCCTAAAGTACCCAAAATACCCTTCGTGTTCAAGGCCAAAATTCAGGTCAAGGACACGCGTAACCCGGGTCATGATCATCACATTCGATCATATAACACCCCGGTACCCCACAATTTTGGTTAAAGTTTGCAAATGAGCCCTTTTGCAGAATTTAGCCAATTTTGCATAAAAGCCCCTCTAACAACTTTTGGTCCTCTTGCCTAAAGTACCCCTTAAACTTTCGGCCAAATGAGCATGTAACCTAGGTTCTAACTTCAGTCCTTTATTACATGGACACCACCCCAATTCTTTGGCCGAATTTGCAAATAAGCCCCCAAAGTTTTCAGCCCCATATTTGCACATAAAACCCTCAATAAAGTATGGTCTTTTTGCATAAGACACCCATCCAAATTGTTACCAAAGGGGAATGAAATCCAAGCCTCAAAATTTCAGTCCCATTTTGCAAATAAACCCCCACGAATAACCGAGACACCCTAGGGTGTCTCGGCCAAGGGCGAGACACCCCCGGGTGTTTTGAGTCCCGTTTTGTCCCTATACGCCTGTTTTGGACCCGAATTCGCCCGTTTCCGTCGATTATTGGATGTCTCGATGAAAATCAACACCAATCAATGTTCGACGATTCAAACCCTAAGGGTCAAACGCCGGTCAACGCGTAACCCTAGGTCAACGCCAGTCAATGCGTTGCAACAAAAGTCAACGTTCGAGAATGAAAATCCACACCAATCGACGTTCGACGATCCAAAACCCTAAGGGTCAACGCCGGTCAACGCGTAACCCTAGGTCAACGCCAGTCAACGCGTTGCCAAAAGTCAACCTTTGACGAATCAAAACCCTAAGAGTCAACGCCGGTCAGCGCGTAACCCTAGGTCAACGCCAGTCAACGCGTTGCGATCAAAGTCAACGTTTGACAATTCAAAACCCTAAGGGTCAACGCCGGTCAACGCGTAACCCTAGGTCAACGCCAGTCAACGCGTTGCGATCAAAGTCAACGTTTGACAATTCAAAACCCTAAGGGTCAACGCCGGTCAACGCGTAACCCTAGGCCAACGCCAGTCAACGTGTTGCAACCAAAGTCAACGTTTGACAATTCAAAACCCTAAGGGTCAACGCCGGTCAACGCGTAACCCTAGGTTAACGCCAATCAACGCGTTGCGATCAAAGTCAACGTTCGACGAATTCAAAACCCTAAGGGTCAACGCCGGTCAACGCGTAACCCTAGGTCAACGCCAGTCAACGCGTTGCGACAAAAGTCAACGTTCGAGGATTCAAAATCCACACTAATCAACGTTCGACGATCCGAAACCCTAAGCCAGCACAATGTGGCGGAGGTAGTTCAAAGTCAACTCGATGACACGAGCCAAACTCAATTCATCAGCTGTAAACTCGAAACTCCGACGACGGCCAAGCGATAAACGCAGTGCCGAAAGAATTTCGGCTATTCGTCAAAGCATCGGATAGAAACGAGTCAGGAACACTTTGGAGGGGGTATCTGTAGGCATTGAAAATTGCCTATAGTTCTCCACAACCGGTTCAGTGTTAACGAACGACAATGAACATCACCATCCGACCCACATGAGCCTAATTGACGTCGATGAACGATTGAAGTGAATCGACGAGTTACGTGAGCAGATAGGACTTCGGAATCACGAAGACCCGGACCAATCGGGAAGCCCGGCACTGTTCACAAAAAGGACAACACCCTCCGTGCCTCGACCACTCTAAAGACAATCCAACCATCAGAGCGGATCGAACTCTTCGTCACGCATCCAACGCACCCGGAATCACTCAAATCCGAGTTCGTACGAAGAATCTACGGAGGAAAACGATCAAATGCACCTATGGACGTCTCGGAGTTCCGAAACACCCCCAGGGGTGTCTCAGAAATTCCGAGACACCCCAGGGGTGTCTCGGAAATTCCGAGACACCCCAAGGTGTCTCAGAATTTCCGAGACACCCCTAGGGGTGTCTCGAAATTTCCGAGACACCCTAGGGGTGTCTCGGATTTTTGGAGACACCCCAAGGGTGTCCCAGATCTGTGCGGACACCCCTGGGGTGTCCTAGATCTGTGCGGACGCCCCCCCTCTTGTTTTCCTATAAATAGGACCCCCTTACCTCATTTGGGATGATCTGGATTTTTGGAGAGCCTCGGCGAAGCCCTGCTGCAGCAAACACTGATTGAGCACTTCAACCGAGGAGGAGAGGTCTAAATCAGCCTTCATCACCCGTTCTCATCTTTCCTTAGTATTAGCCTTTAGCGTTAATACTAAGAAGAGCTAATACCTCGCTTTAGCCGAGGTATACGCTTATAGCTTCTAGATCTCACGCGGATCGACGAAGTTCTGTCCGATATTTCTGGATCAGAAGTTTCTAGATCTCACGCGGATCGACGAAACTCTGTCTGATTTATCCGGACCAGATCTGATTGCCCCGGTGGTCCACGAATATCAACATCCCTGTCACAGGCCAAAGACCCACGCAAGCGAGACCGCACCAAAACGGGATCTCGTGTTTATTTTCGAAAAGTTGTAATCTTTGTTTTGTTGCACGAGGAGGTCTTATAAAAAGACTGACTTTTTATCGATTCTTGTTGTAACGTTTAAAGTTGTAACAGATTCAAAGCAATGAAAACAGCAACTTTCCCCGAAAACACACATGTTTGGCAAGACATGACATGGGCTAAAACATAGACATACAATCATATATTTTTAAATGATGCACTAAGCAAATTTATTCATTTAACAAAATACATATATTAAAAAAACTTTTATAAAAAGAACTAAAGATTACCTAATCTTTGAGATGATAATTTTATCCAAGAGTTATTCTCTTTTATAAAAGATGGTACTATGAAACAATAATACATGCCACGAAAATGATACTCGTAAATACACCTACTCTAAACTCTCGTGGAGGGGAAGCGAGCATACGTCAATATTGTCCTAGATCGGACAATTGTAATCATCACTGCAAAATAATGAACACCAAGCTATCACAAAAGCCAAGGAGACCATGAAGAACTTCCCAGCGTCTTTCATTCAGAGGCGGGTTTGTCCTCAAAATACTCATCGGTCCAGCGCTGAGAAGTACCCCCTTTTGTTTTGCGGAGAAACTATGCTTTCGCAGCTCATGAAACAGAAGACCTGAAGAAAACCAATTGCAATACAGAATCTTTGGGAGATAAGAAAACTAATATGGGGGGCAACCTTATCCCAGAATATTAACCTCAGCTACGTGTTATAAGGTAATGGTGGAGTGAGTTTAGAATAGTCTCTTCGCTAGGGATTTTTTGTAGTCCGCACTTAAAATAGTCCTGACCATATTAAAAAACCAAACATGAGCTGAAGAGGTGGGTTTGGACTAATTTTTAAAATACTATCGTCATTATCAAAAAAAAAAAAAAAAAAAAAAAAAAAAAAAAAAAAAAAAAAAAAAAAAAAAAAAAAAAAACAACAACAAATAAGACCTAAGTGCTATGTGGTGATTTTTGGTAATCCACCCATTTCTCTTATATATGAAAAGGAGGGATAAAGAAGAACCCATGTCCCCTGTGACTTTGGATCTATTGCTGGGTATGTATTTCCCAAATCAATTTCTACAGAACATAAATTTCAACATAACAAAGGGAGGGCTTTATTGAAAAACAATTTCTACAGAACATAAATTTCAACATAACAAAGGTAGGGCTTTATAAAAAAAACAAGAGAGTTTGATCCTCCCTAACATATAATTGCAACGATCAGAGACATAATGTATATTTCTTTTTCTACATATTATTCGCCTCCTTGGAGTTTTGGCAACGGAATGCATTATTCTAGTCGTCTGCAAATCAGCAACAGCTTTTTATCCAAAGAAAAGAAAATACACAATAAATGAGAAAAATAAAATAAGATTAAAACAATCGAGTAAGCTTCAAATGGCTTCCCTCCTCAACATCGATGATCATTATTTCCTGAAGGAACATACAACACACAAATCCTACAACATGCTCAAATACGCTGATATCCACTCTCTATTTCTGCATCTCAAGCAGTTTTAGCTTTCTGCCAATAGAGAAAGGAAGCAAGTCAGTATCAAACTTTGCGATGCCTACATAATGCTTGTTATTGAAATATTAGTGAGAAAGTATGTTGCTTTATATTATATTGTAACACCAATATTTTACCAATAACCAAGATCACCACTCCTTTTTTTAATGTGAAAACGTTATTGAAATTAAATATAGTATTACTTAAGATATATTTCTTTCAAATTTAAGTAACTATGAAGTTAGTTCTGGTACAGAAGAACTCACCCTTTTCTCCTCTTCCATTTGGGCCTTGATATATGAGTACATGGCAACTCCTGCAATTGCAATGCTAGTTCCGATGGCCGTTTGAGTTGAGATCTTGTTTCCTGCAGTAGGACCATCAACATTGAAGTTAAACTATCGATAAGAGTGAAGAAACAGTGAGACGATTAAGCCAAAGAGTGAAATGTAACAGAGAGCTGCACTATACCAAAAATAATAATTGAAAATCCAATGACAAACACTCGTTTCAACACATTGCCAACTGCATGTGTGAGAGGAGCAACTCTTTCCAAGGTGTTAGTTGCCAACTACAGGATCCATACAAGAAAATCATTTAGTTAGAGAAGGAACACTAAAAGGCGAACTAACATAATTTCAGCTATATAATGAAGAAACAGAAAAGGAACAACTGTAACTGTAGATTACCTGATTGTACAAGTGATAGAACAATCCGACGCAGATGAGATCTGTAATGAACCTTGTCATTCCTACTTTGGCAATTGCATCTTTAAATCCATGCTGCATCAGCTTAGGTCCCTCAAACTGTGAATCAATAAGCAAATGCTCAGTTATAAAAAAAGAGCAGTTATTGTACTTTAACGCAGAATATGAACCTATGCCATTAGCTGGTCACATTCTACTAAAACATTCATGACAAATTCCTAAGAATTCTTTAAAACCAGTAACTCTACAGAGAGACAATTGCATATAAAAATTCTTCTCTCATATTACCTTTTCTGTGTCCACAGTTTTTTTAGAAATGAAATTGTTCAAAGTTGCGAAATATCTCTAAAAATTGTACAGCTTTAAAAGCCACTAGATAGGCCGAAATCACATATAATCCTCGAAAACTTCCAATTAAAACAAGAAAGTGCGACAAGTAAATCCCTAGAAAGACTCCAGGATAGTAGTTTCGAATAGGTATATCACCTTATCTACACCTATAAGTTCTGGAAGGGGGAAAAAAGCTTAGACCCGATGAATTCCAGCTTAAATCCATAAAAAACCATTTTACATATCAATAGGAAGTGTACATACCAATATGGCAGGGGGTATGCAAACGATCAATGCAATGATTGAAATGTATGCATATAAGTTGGTGCTGTCCATGTCAGTCTGAAACAAAAAGAAATCTTCTGTAAGAAAAAGAAAAAGGAAGATGCATCAAAAAGGTGTGGTGAAGAGAAATGTACCATAGCTTTCTTAGAGTAAATACTCCGGTAAGTGAATGAGATGTTGGAAATCATGGCACTAATGAAGCCAGTCCAGTTAAATGATAACTCCGTGAGTGATGCCATTGAAACACCTGCAAAATTTGCAGATCAAGTTTTCTTGAGTTCATGATTCATAACAAGTGACCAATGGATTTAGCACGCTGCAGAATTGAGACACTACAGATATTTAAGAAAATGATATTTGAGAAAGAATCTAAAACATAATATAAAATTCATATTTATATTATAAGTTCTATTATATCATAACAACAAACTTATTGAATTTATATGACTTCTTGATGGTTTTTCTGTAACATGTAGCTACACATATCAGTGGCCTTTTATTCTGTCTGCAATGACAAACACTGCAAAGACTGAAGAAACGGTCTGATTACTTACTAATATGGGCATCAACTTATGGGGTTACAGAAACTTGTTTGACTCGAAAAAAAAAGGGAAAAAAAAAGAGAGAGCCATAGGTAATTCAAGTTGAATTCAAATTGTCAATCACAAGGGGAAAATAACTCATCATTTCATACAAAATCAAGGCATTTTATGCTTAATGAAATCTCAAGTCATCAATGTTTATTCCGAAGAGATTAAAACATTAAATAATATGAAAAGCGCTAATTACCAAGCACGACAGGTGCTAGAGACAGCCATAGTGTCAAGGGGATCTGCTGTCCAAGGATGAATTGCGATGCTGCCGCATTGAAGAAGGGCTCCAGCGCTTCACAAATAAAATTAACAGAGCGGGTCAGTAACAACAAACAACAAAGAATTTCATTTTTGTGAAGATCAAATAACTGAATACCTTTAATTGTGTGAGTAAATGAGACTGCAACCGCAGCAAATGAGACATTGCTTGTTACATGTCCTAAAGCATGGCATACTGCGACTGGGATGAGCAGCTTCAGAATATTGGCATCGATGGGCTGCAGAAATATTATTTCCAGTCAGAATCGGAGCTGAAACTTGCATCTTTGGGAAATATTAACTTCTGTATATTATAAAGTTTTCAATGATTATGACATGAATTTCCTTATCTGCACCAACAACTCAGTAATCATATTGTGTACATTTATCATTCAGTTATATATGTCCTCATTTTGTTAACAGTAAATATTAACTTGCGGTTCAACTTCTTGTTCCACATGCCTCATATAGGATTTCTTTTACTTAAGTTGCTTGACTATTAAAGTTTACACTTTTATGGTAGAAATGCTCATTAGAAGCTTATCTCAACTAGTAACCATTTTTCTTCAGAAGTAACTAATACAGGCTGAAAATACAGTAGAAGGAAGGATATGGTACCAGCAACATGATTCAATAAACATTTATACTGAAACTGTAAACCTCAATAATTACCTTGATCAATTCTTGATAATTCTAACAACCATAAAGTCAACTATAAAGGATTCTGAATTGCTTAACTATACAAATTATGAAATAATATAACATATCACTGACTATCTTAATCAGATCATAATCACGACGAACGCTTGCCATGTCATCCCAATCTACTACCCACCCCATATGGATCACACACATCACTTGAAAGGAACTTCTATAACAAGCCATTTAAAAAAAAATGTTGTCAATAAAATAAATTTTCTGCCATTTGCATCTGCGCCCTTTTATTGAACCTTGGGTAAAAAGGAAAGACTCCATTCAAATGAATACTCCTTTAGATTCAAAGGGAAGTAGAATAGCAGGAATTTATAGGAAAATGTGCAAGTATTCACCAGCACAAGATTTTTTTTAATCTTATTTACCATGGGAAACCATAACTATGAAGATGAGATATTGTCTTCCTCAAAAGTGAAACAGAATAGAGAGGAGAACAATGATACAATGGAGGTCAGACAGTTCAACTTACAGCACGCTTGGGGAGGCCAACAGCCCAGCTCGCCAAACAATACACCACACCAACACCAAGATGTATCACCGACACGAAGCTACAAACTACTTCTTTGTCAAATATTAACTATGGGATCCATACTGTTTACAGTGTATAAGGAAACAACTTACTAGGGGTAAGGGAAATAGTTGTAGATCTTCTTGTTGAGGATATTGAATATCACGTTTAAGAAGTACCTGCATTGAAACATAGTGACCTGTAAAATGGCTACCAGTATCAAAGTTACTATCAATTAATACAACACAAAATAATTCCTTTATTAAAAAATGAAATGAAATAATTTGACGTTACATTTGATTTATTTTGCATAAATTACACATTTGATCACTTGCATATGTTGTAGAGATGGTCATATGGGTCAAAGACAGATTCAATAATAATCCCGTGGCCGGTGATATCTGCCTACTGGGTAGTCATAAGCATCTTAACGTTAATTTTTGTCAACTGCCTTATATTATTAGAATATTGCGTATCATATGTAAAAACTTGAAGCAGTGGATTCTACCAGCTAAAAAATAAGTGAAAGAAAGCTCCATTTTTGTGAAATGAAATAGAATAAAAGTAACAAGATAATAGACGCAAACTCTATCATGATACTTTCCAATTATAACTTATTTAATTCTATTTGTAAAAAAATAGAAAAATAAATGCATACCGTACCACATGAAGAAGAAAAAGCCGGTCACAAGTGCAGGGTACTTGGCCGCAAAACCAACTGGCGCCACTTTGGCTTCCCTAAATTAAGGAAAAAAGAAAAAAAAAAACCAAAAAATGGAATATTTCCGTTAGAAAGATTGGCCGTTAGCGAGTCGTTAACAAAGAGAGGAGACGGACCTCACCCAGCGGAATCGCTTCCTTCAGCTGGCGAGGCCGCGGCCAATACCGGCTTCACCCTTTTCTCAACCGTTAACTTCAACGGAGAAGGGAGTAGGATGTTGGGCCGGAGTTGGCGGCCCCAAACAAGATTGCCGGCATCGGTGACCGGCCCATTGGGCCTGGGCTGGGCCGCGGAGGCGAAAGCCGCCTGCTTTGGTTGTTTGTGG